TTCAGGGGAACAACATATTAAAAAATGGCACGAATCAGACCAGGGGTTCAAAAGTTAAGGGAAAGTCCTTTGTGACTAAATGAAGCATGGCTTTCCGGCCCAAACCAGTTTCAGAGTCTTCTATCCTGGAGATTGAATTGAGAAGTAATTCAATTATCTCCCAGGACAGACACAAGACTCCATTATGCACATGGTGAGCACAAAGCATTAAAATATTATAAAATACACAAAGTCACATTTTATACATAAAACACAGACATGTCACATATCCCCAGATAGCTGGGATCTGAGCGCACAAAACTACCGAATAGCGCTCAGATCCTATTCACACAGTTCAATTGCCATGGAGCCGAAGTCTTTAACTACACGAATGGGCTCCATGGCATAGCTATCTGGGTTAACACATTCACATAAAGTCTGGTCCATAGTCCAAAGGCAAGAGGCGGGCAAGCAGCCCCCTCCAAGGACATGTGGCGAGGCCGGTTTCGCCACACCGCCTTCTTTCGATCTTTCTCTATGTAGAAAGAGGTTGCGAGGAATAATCCCCCTCCGATGACTCCCACAAAGGCACAAATAATCAGAGCGGAGCCTAAGCTATTAAACCGCAAGAGGTCTGAATCTGGTTTTCCTTTGCGTATTAGATCTGAAATCTGAGGAGAAGAAAGATGAAAGAGAAGCAGTTACAGCTGGTGATTAAATCGAGGCCAAAATGCAGGTAAAACAGTAAACTAAATAAATAAATCTATCCAAATTCTTTGATCACGTGTATTTGTAAGAATACAGCACAGTTATTTTCATTAGACAAATTGCCAAATGGTGAGTGTTGCCATCTGTCACATATAATATGTAAAGATGTTCATGTTTTAGTTTCCATACTGGTTGTACCTGTTTAGTATCTTTACTTAATGATGCATATTTCAACAACTGCTGGTAATCTATAATGGGCATCCCACTGGAAGGACCACTTAAACAGAGACACGTACAGGAGTTTTACATAAAGTCTAAGTAGCGCAGTACCGGATGGGAAAACAATCTGGCTGCATATGCGGCTATTAGGACTCCAAAATCCAGACACTGTTCACACTATTCAACAATATACAGATTTTGCACTTCCGGCCCCCAATAGACCTGAATTTGTACTTTGTCTGACTGTGTGTATAGTATTGTGAGGCAGTGTGTGTATATACTCTCTGGATGAGTGTATGTGTGTGTGCATAGCAGTGTGTCGTTGTTTAAATGTGTATATATAAACACACACGCAGACTGCTGAATACATGTACACAGACTGCTAAATATGCAGAGACTGCTGAATACACAGACTGTTTAATACACATACACAGACAGACTGCTGAGTACATACACATATTGCTAAATATGCAGAGACTGCGGAATACACACACAGACTGCTAAATATGCAGACTGCTGAGTACACATACAGACTGCTAAATATGCAGACTGCTGAGTACACACACACTGCTGAATACACACAGACTGCTAAATATGCAGCGACTGCTGAATACACACACATACTGCTAAATACAGACTGCTGAGTACACACACATTGCTGAGTACACACACATACTGCTAAATATGCAGAGACTGCTGAATACACACAGCCTGCTAAATATGCAGACTGCTGAATACACATACACAGACACACTGCTGAGTATACACACACACAGACTGCTAAATATACAGACTGCTGAGTACACACACACACACACACGGAGAATAGAAGAATTTGAATGGTAATTAATTTTGTGACTTGGGTTGCAGGTACCTGTGCTCGTTGTGTAGGTAAGGGATCTTTGCTAAGACTTTATGTAGATTGTATTACCTATTCCTCCTATTATCCTTAAGGTTTTGTAAATTTCACTATTGGATGCCACAGTGCTTTTCCCCTATGCTGGTAGCGGTTATTCTGCTTAAAACTTTTTTTGTGATACTTTTTATTGAGCTTTTACATAGCAGCAGCTACTTGCTTTTATTGAACTTTTTGTTACGCTACCCGATTTGCAAAACAGATACAGGGAATATTTTTCACTGTTATTTACTTGTGAATAGACACACAGACTACTGAATACACACACACATAGACTGCTGAAAACACACAGAGTGCTGAATATATACACACAGACTGCTGAATTCACACACACACACACACACTGCTGAATACACACACACTGCTGAACAATACACACACCCCCTAAGTTCCCCCCTGCTGCCCTGCACTATATACCCCCTCGGTTCCCCCCTGCTCCCCTGCACTATATACCCCCTCAGTTCCCCCCTGCTGCCCTGCACTATATACCCCTTCAGTCCCCCCATGCTGTGCTTATCCTGCCTTTCTGCAAGATTTACCTGTATATCTGGTTGCCAATGACCAGAACTGTCTCTCCATGTCCCCTGAAATTGACTGGATGGCTGAGAGTGCTGGGGAAAGGGAGCCCTCTTATCAGTTCTAGACATCCAGTCACTCACTAGGGATGGTTTAGGTGAAAGTTAGCTGATACCGTTGATATTTATTCCTTATTAATGGGACAGCACCAGGCACCCCCCCTATCAATCACGGCGATCCAGTTTCTCATCTAGTTCTGTAATTGATTAGTAATATTTAGTAACTAGACCCGTGAACCCTCCTATCAGTTACAGTATTCCACCGACAATGATGCAGCATAGCAGCACTGCATAGGATGTTTTCTTCCCCTCTTGAATTATTAGCTTTAAGTTATATATGCATTTTGATATATTTTACATTATTTATTTCCTAATTTGTGGAGGTGTCTTTGTATAAGCAGTGTTTAGACGAGTGAGACAGACGTGAATTACACCCCCTTCTATCCCATGTGTAGATATTTTAAGTCTTTTAAATTTCTTATCTTTATCTTGATGTGTTTTCCATTGTCAAGGACAGTGTTTTATAGATTACCCCCAGTGCAGGTGCATTTTCTATACACACTGTTATCAAATGCTAGTCAACATAAAACATCAGACAGGGGAAAAACAATGAATCCAATTAACAGACTCCGCTATGTCTCCCTAACTGTGTAAAGAGGATGCGACTGCACCGCAGGTGATAGTCTGTCAGATATTTTATGTTGACTAGCATTTGATAACATTTTGTACAAACACTTCTGTGTTATAAATGTACCATGTATACACTGTGCTGTGTATAACATTTTTCTGTACATAACATACTGTTTTACACTAATAAACAATGCAATGTACAATACACTGTACTGTGTACAGTAAGTGTTAAGACAATCTCAGTTGCATAGCAATCTTGATTTTGTAGAGACTCCATGAAGGTGAGTAATACTGCTATCATGATGAAACAACTATTTTACTTAATTTATCCATGTGTACTTATTGTCCCCTCACAGGCTTTGCATTTGATTCAGTCATTTGCCAAAGCAGTGCCCTATCTTATCAGACTCCCTGGCGGTGAGTAATTCCAATATCGTGTTGAGACAATTATTATATTTTATAATTTGGTACTTATTGTCCCCTTACAGGCTTCACATTTGATTCACTTGTCTAGCAGTGGCCGTCTCATCAGACTCCTTGACGGTGAGTAATACCCATATCGTTGTGTATCATTTATAAGACTTTATAATTTAGTAGATTTTCATCTGAACACTGTAGTATCCAGTGTTAATGGATTTTACACAATGTTGTGGTTTCATTTTCGGATCGACCGATTATCGTTATTTTTGGTAATATCGGTATCGGCCAATAAATATACAGATATTGCCGATCCAGACTGCCGTGCCCATGACAAGCCCTGTGGTACTGGGGGCCCAGCAAGCTCTTTCTTACCTTCCTTTCAGCTGCCCTGTCTAAATCTTGCGGGTCCCGTGGCCATCAGAGTGTTACCACGGATTACCATGGCAACACAGCAGGCATGCCGCTAGAGTTAGACAGCAGCTGAAGGGAGTTGCTGTGCCCTCCACTGCACAGTCCATGCCACCGGACCACCAGGTTATACTATATCCCCCCTCCCTGGCCAGGTAACAAGCAGGGAAGGGGGAAAAAAATATTTTGTAAGTTAAAAAAAAATTTAAATGACGCCCAACCCACTACTCAAACACACACACACTCCGCATTATATACACAAAAAACACTCCCACTCTGCATTCATTATATATACACAAACACATACACTCTGCATTCATTATATACACACTACACAAACACACACACACTACATTACTTTTACATTACAAATACTTTCACTGCATCCATTACACACACATATATTCTTTAAAACGTAAATTCTGACTGGCATATATATTTTGTGCATTTACCTTAATAGTAAAAAAAATGTTTTTCAAAAAATAAAAATAATCAATATCGGTCAATCCATAGTTTCTTTACACTGCACAGTGAGGCATTTTGAATTTTACAGTGTGAAGGGGATAGTTTCAGTTAGTGGTTACATATGTAAACTAGTTGTTATGTATGGCAGTTAGGTTAGTTTTTATTGATTTTTTACACTTGTAAAATGATAATTGTGTTCTATTTTTATAGGTATGGAGAAAAAGTACAAAAAGATCTTCAAATTCCTCTGTTTTGGAGAATACCCATCTGGGTATAGCAGGACACAGAGGCTAAATATACTTTAAAAGTGAGTATAATACAGTCAATCTTATTTGTTTGTAAAGATAGGTTTGTAATGAATGAAACTCTTAATTTTTAATTTTCATTACAGAAGGAGAGCACTTCGTTGGAAAAAGAAGAGTTATTAATAACGAGGAAGAAGCAAGGAGGATCTTCGTCGAATTTCATGCATCGCCCATTGGAGGACATACAGGCATCAATAGAACGCGATCGGCCATCTCCTTGAGATTTTTCTGACATGGCATGGCCATTGATATGGATAAATGGGTACACACTAATTATCTTTGTGTTTTGAAACATTAATGAAAGCTGTACACAGGTTAACAACTCCTTTCCTATAGATCCAGGAATGTGATCAATGCCAGAAGTCTGGAAAGCCAATGTCTGCTCCACAGCCGTTACAGTGTATTAAGGTAAATATCTACTATAGTATTATATACCAAACATATTAAAGCATTGGTTTATTGAAAATTCTATATATTTGTTTAATCAAAATAGGTATCTGCTGTCTGGGAGCTTGTCGGAATTGACCTAACAGGTCCTTTCCCAAAGACAGTGGATAGTTTTCAGTACATTTTGATGGCTACGGATTGTTTTTCAAAGTGGGTGGAGGCTTTTCCACTAAGAACAAAATGTGCTGCTGAGGTGGGACGCCATATTTGCTCCATGGTCTATCGACATGGTTGTCCCAAGCGAATTCTTTCAGACCAGGGTAGAGAATTTGTCAATCAAGTATGTGCACTTTCCATTTACTATTGTATTTAATAGTTATTTTGTAATATGTTGGTTTATTAAAATAATATATTCCAAATGTTTTTGTTGTTTTTTTCAGCTCAACGACCCCATGTGTAGTCTTCTTGGAATTGAAAGAAGCGTGACAGCGGCATATCACCCACAGACCAACGGTCTGGATGAAAAGACTAATCATAACATCAAAAGGCAAGTTTAATTCAAGTTTTGTTTTTATTTCTGCTTTTAGTAGAACTTTGCTCCACAGGTTCATTTAAAGAAACACTACATTGTCAGGAATACAAACCTCTTCCTGACACAATAGGGTTAAAGAAACATTTTAGGTTCCATGCCCCTTCTACTTACTTTTAAATAGTGCTTTTTACTCACCTTTTTCCAGCTAATCATGTCTCCTCGCTGGTGGACCTCAACATGCACCATCTCCTTGACTGAGATAATCAAATCTGAACATCTCTGAAAATTCAGTGCTTTTCCATATGAAAACATTGGGAGGCTATTGCACATGCAATGGAAAACACAGCACTGCACAAATCGGCATCTCCTCACGTTAATTTTGCATTGCACTTGTTTCTATTGTATGCTGAGAACTATAAATTCTGCATTGCTTACAAGAGCGTTGTAACTGTGTTTATCTTGTTTATTTTATTCAATGTAGAGCTCTCACTAAATTGGTGAATGACAAGCAAAATGATTGGGACGTGTATTTGGACGCAACATTATTTTCCATAAGATCGAAGGTCCAAACCACAACAAAATTTTCACCGTTTCATTTGATGTACGGGAGGGAGGCATTTTTCCCCGCCGAGGTATGACTGTACAACAAAAGGTACTTTTTATTTATCTTTGCAACATTTCAATCATACTTTATCTTACTATTTATTTTAAATTTTGGTGTCCGCGTATACATATAAACATTTTTTTTTTACATTTTCTTCACAGCTTTCGAACATCATTCTTCCGGAGGAGAAGACTCATGTTTCCTTTCTAAACGAGAAGAAAACATCAATGGAGAAGATAAAGGAAAACATTGAGAAAGCGCAGGAAAAGCAGAAGATGACGTATGAGAAGAAAGTGCTGAAGAAACACAAGGATGTAGTGTACAGTGCTGGCAATGAGGTCCTTCTTTACAATATGAGGAAGCGTGGTAGAAAAGGAGGAAGGATAGAGCCTGACTTCTCTGGTCCTTACATTATCAAGGAGGTGTGTGGCAAGGTGGTGAAACTGGCAAATTCTGACGGGGTTACACTTAAGAATAAGATCAGTATAGACCACATCAAGCCATACAGAAGAAGTGAGGAAAGCACAGTCCACAGGCAGGAAGGTGATGCCGAATTGCCTGAGGAAATCAGCACCTGCGTGTCCTCCATACTACAAAGGACCTCTGTCATCTGTTTTGCTGCACCGAAGAAGGAGAGCACTATTGAGGTACCACCAAAGAGAATACCCAAATCAATATATATGTATAGATATATATGTATATACATTTTTTTTTGTTTGCATATAGCTTGCCTTGCATTACATGTAGTGTGCCTTGTTCTATCTCTTCTTCCTATTCTTCCTTTATGTAGTATTTTAGTTTAAAGTAATGTTACATGTAAGTGATTAACATTAATCTTGATATTTTTTTTAAGCCATCCGCATCTTTGATTGTCATGCACAGCATAGAAGACAGAGGTAGCAGTTACTGGGTTCTAATATTTTTGTTTGACCCTGTTGGTCATTTGTTTGGCCATGCCCTATTGGCCTGGCCTTTAACTATGTTGCCCTTTCTGGCATTTTTTTTTTATTTTTATGAAGTTGCCACTGTTTGGCATTGTGTTTCATCCATTTCCTGTTATCATTAACCATACAAGTTTTAGATTATACCAAAGAACCTATACAGGTTGAGTTATTCCCCTTGTCAGAAATGCCTCTTAACATAAGTGAATGCATTTAGGAAGATTAGTATATATAATGTGTTTTCTTCAGATTGGGTGTTATATTTAGATGATGCTTTATTTGGACACAATTTGTATTTTTTCAATACTTAATTTTATGATAAGGCACACTCAACCTGTATTAGCTTTGGCTCCCAAATGTACACTACATACCTGGAGTTAAAATAGCTTGCTGTATTTTTTTTTTTTTTCTTAAAATGCTGTGGGAAGCTGAAGATGATGGCTCTGTGGAAGCAGTTGTGGGACCATACAAGCTGTATGTTTCATCGTTTCGTACAATGCATGGCAATAAGTGGCTGGTTGATGAGGTAAGAATAAACATTGGTAATAATTAATCAAAAGCAAAAATATGAAAAAAAAAATTATATATACCTATCTAATAAAAACATTTTTTTGATGCAGGTGATTGATGCATAGATTCATCATCTGATTGTGAAGCAGCATCAGGCAAGTGTGAATTACGTTCATTCTTCTGTTATGTTTGTTGCGTTGTTATTTTGCATATTAACTTTTTTTTAATCTACTGAAACAAGGATCCTGTTCGACAGTTTGATGCTGTCCTGCCATCTGTATTATTTTACGGTGAAATAGAAAAGCTTGGAAAGGTTAGTGACTTGTTACAATTCCAGTTATACATATTAAATATATTGCTTTCTACCTTTTCCTCAGAAAGATCCTCGAAGATCTGTGGTTATGCCCTGTGAACGTTGGAGCTCACTGGATTAATTTGGTATTTATTATTGAACAAATTGTATTGTTTTTTTTTTACTTAAGTTGTCACGCACTATTATATTCTATGTAATTATGATATATATATAGATATATCAAACTACAACCCTATGACACCACAATGCTCATTTTCGCTGTACAGGGTTAGCAAAAAGTAGGTATACAGTTGAATCAATGCAACTGCTGCAGAATCCACTTTTTATATCTGCACTTCACTATTCTTTCCAAATTCCACACTGATATTTAAATGCATGAAATTGAAATGACACTTTCTTATGTTGTGAAGTTCATTGATTCCACTGTATGTCTACTTTTGGTTCACCTGGTATATTAAAAATATCAATGTCATCAACAAACTTGTGTGATTTCCCAATATATTTTTTAGGTTGTCATCATGTCCAAGAAGGCCATTGCATTGATGGATCTGATGGGAAATGAAAACAGCTATATTTCTAAAGTGCAACGGAACTGGAAGTAAGTGTGCTTCTGTAAACACTTTTAACTTGGCACAAGCTTCAATTAAATAGTGATGCATTTTTTTTATATACCGGTATATATTTTTTTAATGTATTATTTTTTTTAATAGTATCTTCTTGAGGATGTACAAGCCGGAAGAACAGGCAGCACAATGGAGCACATGGATAATGTTTCACAGCAACCAGCAGGATTTCAGTAGCTGTGGAGTTTTAATCTTGATGGTAAAAAGTTTTCTAACATAGTGAAAGCCAGTGATAACAAATGTGAACTGCGGTTATAAATGTGAATTGTTATTTTACAGTTTGCCAAGGAGTTCCTATGGACAAGAACAATCTCTGAAGTGAAGACATCTGCGGAATATATAACGGATGCACGACTGGAAATAGCTTGTGCCCTACTCCAGTATAAAGGTCAGGTCGATCACACAATGCATGAAAGCTTTGTCTTGAAAAATTGTCTTCATACTCAATCCACACTGATGAAATCATTGCACCGGAAACATGTGTTGTATTATTAATTCACTCCATAAACACTAATTGTGAACATACACATTCACTTACATTTTAACATGCAGCACCATAACATACGCTGTTTTTAATTCTTTTTGTAGGTGCGGTATGAGTCCTAACAGGATGGCCCCTGTGTGTGGCCCCATAATTAATAGACCTAAAAACATGCAATAAGGTGAGTATACTGTAATTACATTTTGGAATAGAAGGATTGTTTAATTATTAGACCACTCCATTTATACTTATATTGTATGAGAGGTTCCTGTGTGCAGAATATTTTAGAGAGTCCAGTAAGACAAACAAACTTAATCCCATCCCTTGTACTTTTCATGATCTACTAGTCTTTATTTTCAATCCCGTTCCTTTTATGCTGTATTCACTCTTAATGTTATAATACTTTTGTACTTGTCACTTACTCCTGTAGCTAGTTATTCACACTAACATTTTCTTTTTTTTTTTTTTCTTGTTTGTCAACTCTGCTGAGCACTGCGTCCAGTGGCATACGAGGGAGATGAAGGGTTCCATGTTTGATACTCACGGAGAAGGTAGAGTATTGCATTTGAAGTTAATTTTCGGATCTTCTAGTCTCCATTTCCAATCAATTTGTTTCCTTTTTATTCTGTTTTTTTATTTTAATTTTGTAATACTTTTGTACTTGTTACTGACTCCTGTGGCTACTGTAACGCCATTCTCTCTAACCATGTTTTTTATTTTATTTTTTTGGTGTGTCATCGGCCAGTTGATTGTACACTGAATTCTGATGCTTCACACAGGTTAAGGTAGGTAGCAGGCTTTGGTCCTAGTGTGGTTATTAAAAGGGCACTGTAGGTACTGTAACTGCTTCTTATTTGGAAAGTGGTAATGGTGTCTAGAGTCCGCTGGTACTGTCCTTACATTCTGTTATTCACTTATAATGAGAAGAACTTAGTGTGAGCAGCAGTGATTTGATTATGTCAGTTAACCACTCAGTCTCTCACAGTGCCTATTGCTTGTATCAAATCAATCTGGCTAGTATGATGTGTAATCTCTCCCTAAGACACACCCACATTTGCGGCAGGGCTGTGGTTGGCCATGAACCTTTTTTTAGTGTTAAACTGCACAAAATGGTTTAATACTGACTGGATAGACAGCTCCAGAGGACTCTAGGTGAAATAAGCACTTCATTGAGATCAACTGTTAATAGGGCCTATATTGAGCCTTTAAGGTAGCAAGCTGCATCCCAAGTCAGAACATTAAGGCAGTAGCAGGCTTTGTTTGTAGTCAGGTCATTGATGTAGGTAACAGTCTGTGTCTCAATTATTAAAGCTTATAGCAGGCTTTGTCTTTAAGTCTCTATGGATGTTGGGTTCAGGGCAAATCTAAATTAAAATTAGTAATTTAAAGCTCAACAATGGCCCTTGTAGCTGTTGCATGCTACATTTCCATTGATGCTTAACCAGAGTGTATTAGTTATTGATGATCCAAACCAATCATTTTACCTTTTAATGGTAATGCCGTACCAAGGATTTAACACACATGATGTGGCGCTGGAAGTAACACAACCAGGACTCACAATGTGACATGCTGCAGCCGCAACTGATATCCCCTTAATATCAGGGGGGAATGATACAGTAAATATTTTAGCTTAGTCTTTTTAACTGAACATTGGACATGCCATTCAAAAGCTCTATCCTTCCAGACAGACAGGGAAAGTCACTATTATCGAAAACTAGTGTAGACAGCGCTGCATAATATGTTTGAACTATATAAATAACTAACTTATTACAAGTGGGAATAATAGTACATATTTAAAATCTTTAAAAGGACACTTATTTTTTTAAAGTAGGCTTTATGTTTTCAGTTTCATTATTTGTTAACCACCATCCTCAATCTTCTGTTCTGTGTTTTCTTAGATTGGTGGTAAGAGCAGGTGGTAAGAGCAGGGAGATCCTCTGCATTTTACACTCCCTTAGTGATGGTTCCAGTGCCAGAGACAAACCCACCATTAACCTAAACCTGCTGAAACCGAAAACTTCCTTCTCCACTGGGCTGCTTCGTAACACATGCTGCAGACATGACGTAACCTTCATCTTCCAGTGATTAAGAATGGTGGGCCACGTAGAGAGAGAGCTCAGTTATAACGATACTGCATTCCTCATGCCATCCAGCTTGTCTTTGAAAGGTGCTTGAACTTTCTCCATGTTATTTGTGGTTACCACAGTCTGGCTTTGCATGGCAGGATTTTCTGTTACACTTTTATTTTTTAATAGAGATATAAAGATTAATGATGAAGAAATAAATTAGATTCCAGACACCTTGACGTGCAATTTGTGTTACTTTGTGTAAAAAAATTAAATAAAAAAAATAACAGCACTAGCTGTGTCCCATTCTATGACATCTCTCCAATTCTATAATGGGTGTGATGAAATGGCCATATGAGATGGTGGATTTCAGAGTAGAAAAAAGAAACCTCAGTTTCTCTTGTTGAGCACAGATTGGAGTGCCTTTTTGGCGTTCTAGATTTTTTGGGACCGTATATAAATATTGACAAAGGGTAAAAACTATTGTGCTAGGAATATCAAACAATTTCTAACACTATAGTTTCCTCTGCACCCTTTTTGTCAGTTACTTGATTGCGCTCACATTTGGGCCCCCCATCGGAAAGCTTTAACTCAATGCTTTCCTGTTCGTTTTTTAAAGAGCCTGGTTGTCGTCAAGCAAAGCGTAAGGATGTCCAGTGTTATTTCACGTAGTTGGACTACGTTAAGGCTCCTGAAGCGACTCTAGTGGCTGTCTGGTAGACAGATAATAGAGGAAGAGTTAACCTTGCAAGGTAATATTTAACATTGCCGGGTTAGGGGAACATAGGCACTGCACCCAAACCCATTAAACAAGATGAAGTGGTCTTGGTGCCTATAGTGTCCCTTTAAAGATCAACTTTTTACTCTGCTTATTGCTATCTTTTGAAAGTCATCACAGTTCTAAGCAAAACTTTGCATAGGTACAGCAACAAGAGGACCTATGTGCACCATAAATTATCATAGTTTGATACAAAGCCATATTTCATTACAAGGAAGCAGTAAACAATACGCCAGCATTATGGGAGATGTAATTCACAGCATCTGGACTGCCTAAGATTACCTACCTCTGAATTAGATGGTGATCACAGTACACAATGTTGAAGTCGATATGCAAACAGGAGAAGCTTGTCACGTGTCACATGCCACTTTAGTAATTATAAATTCAATACTCCACCCTGGATGAGGGCCTCAAACATGGGCTTCTTCATTCCTCTTCATGTACTTCGTGTCCCATAGGAGAACATGCTTGTCAGAGTTGTGACACAAAAAAAAATGGTTAGAGTAAATGGCATAACAGACACAGTACATGCAGACTTGCGGTCCACATATATACAGCAGACAGAGACAAAGATTGTAGGAGACACACCGTATTAAATATAAGAATTGGGAGTAATATACATACACAATGCACAAAGAGACGGAGATTACAGAATTCAGTGACCGACGGATTTGGTTGCAGATGTGGGGCAGTCCTTCTGGCTGGGGTGCAGTTTCTCATCCTTCTCTGGTGAGTAACTAGATGGCTGCGGTTTCGTAGCAAAAAGCATGCCATGGCATATGAGATCTAGGAAATAAATATTTTTGGGGGAAACTAGGGTTGTACACATCTAACACACAGGCCACACGTACTGCACAGCTCCCCATCTAACGCACAGCCCCCAAATATAATACACTGCCCCTCCACATATAACGCACTGCACCCCAAGATCTAACGCACAGCATCCCCACATCTAATGCACAGCCCCCCACATCTAATACACTTCCCCCCACATCTAACACACAGGCCACCCCAATATACTGCACAGACCCCCCCAATACTGCACATACCCCCCCATCCTGCACAGACCCACCAATACTGCACATACGCTCCCCCCCCCAATACAGCACAGTCCCCCCCCCACATTATGAACAGACCTCCCATAATGCATCCATCAGATTTCTATACCCTTGAGTGCGCACGCGTGGTAAAAGATTTCACAGTAAAAGTGTCCATCAGATCTCCCTACCCCCACACTGCGCAGGCGCGGTGTCCGTGAATCAGGCTTGGGTGTCTGGGTCTGCGCAGTGTGGGGCAGGGAGATCGGATGGATGTGTGGTATAAGAGATCTCCCTGGGCACTTGTGCGCACGCGCGCTGTATCCTGACGGCGGAAGTATTTAGCCACTCGTGTGCACTGGCCTGTAATTGTTCCCTACCCTGTAACCCCTTCTGAGACTCCCGGAGCTGACAGGTTAGGCACATGCACAATAGGTGCCCCTTCTCCCCAGCGCTTGCTATTAAATTTCCCTACCCTGTCGTTGTGCGCCTGCGCGGCGCAGCACACCTCCTCCTCCAATTGGAGAACGTCACTTCCGGTGTGGCCATGTCACCGGAAGTGACGAGCGTAGGGAAATATAACAGTGTAGGGAAATTTGATAGAACACCGACACCGGCTACACAACTTTAAATACCGGCTGAGCCAGTAAAATACCGGCCATGTGGCAACCCTACATGTGCGCATCTACACTTTACACTTTCTGGGGACTGTTGTCTGGTGTCACCAAAGGTCGAACGTCAGGGAGCAAAGTCAGAATAGTGGGAAAAGACCTGAAAATTGGGACTGCCACTTTAGAAATATTAGTGCACAACTGTCCAAGGAATGATTAAAGAAACACTCTACTGCCCATATACATGCCCCAACAAATAAATAAAAATCACTATTAGTAGATGTATCCCAATGGAAACATGCATGCATTCAATTATGCATTTTCTCATTGGGAGTATATATCAAAACAGCCTGCAAAAGCTGCAGTTATCTTGTCTGCAGCCTTTGCAAGCCCTCCCCTTCTAAACCCACCCAGACTTTCCAATCACAGACTTTAAGATGCAGTTCAATGAGAAGCCTTTACAAGGCAGGTACTCTGAGCAATTGCTGCTTCTTGAGTTTAGCTCCATTGATTGACAGCCATGAGAGTGTAACAAGTTTAATTTATAAAACTGCAAATTTCTTTTGTAATCTGCACTTTTTGTAAAATTATAAAAGAGGATGCCCTCTTCACACATTAAGCTTTTGAGCAGGCAAAAGTAATTTATGGGTCTTGAGTGTCCCTTTAGCAAGTTATGTATTTGGCTAATCTGTGATTAAAGTCCTTTAAACCTCCCAAGATGTCCCTTCATACATTACCAGTAATATATCTGCAACAATCGCCCAGTTCAATGATAGCAGTGTTTCCCCAATGAAGATAAAAACCTGCAGAGAGGCAGAAGAGTGAGACAATTAGAAAGTAACATGTAACGCCACTGTGCCAACAACCAAAGAAGGATGGATTCCTATGTGGATGTATTCCTTTAATTAAGCAATCTATAAATGGGGGAGTGGTTACTAATTATTGAGCAGTGTCAAGTGTGTCAAGATCCTAGGAAAAGCTTTACTCATCTACCTTGACACTGAATAGTCATTTGTTCACCTCTAACTGGCCCTTGAAATTCTATTTCTGCTACGAAGAGATGAGTGGTGTTTTTTTAGTGGTGGGAGTACTCACGTAACTTGAGATAAGGCTTTTCTTTGCTACCACTAAGGAGACGTAAAGGAAGGGCTGTGCGCACGGGAGGCCAAAGCCGCAGACCAAAGGGTCTGAGCGTGGATTTTTTTTCCGGCAACACTTGCCGATCTTCACACCAGCTATAACCCCCACAATACCAGTCACACAAGTGATCACAATGAAAATCAAACTAGAAAAAAATTAAATAAAAGACGTAATGAGTTAAAAAATTAAGAGTATAATAAACCAGTGGAAAAAGAGAGAAAGACAGTAGAAATATAATGGGGGGGGAGGAAGGGGGGGAGTGAAACAAAATGTAAACCCAGTAGATTCTTTTCTCAAGTGTGAGCAAATGCAATAATGCCAGTGCATACATTTCTGTAATTAAGGAAGCAATGCAGTCCTCAACTATACAGTGATCTGTGGCGTAGATACCGCGGTCACAGCTGCAACCTGGTCCATCACTCCACTGGACCCGGCTGCCCTGTCAACCCCTTAGATATATTGATGACCTCTCTTTTATTTGGGAAGGTTCAGAAGATCATCTTATTTCTTTTATTAACCATCTTAATTACAACAATAGAGGTATAATTTTAACTTATGAATATAGCAAGGAACAAATAAATTTTTTAGATTTTAACATTTTTATCAAAAATGAACAAATACACACTAAGATGTTTTTTTAAAAAGTTTGCGCAAAAACTGCAATAGATAAATCTAGCTGTCATTACCAACCCTGGCTTGACAGTGCCTGAACAGTGTCCAAACATTTTATTAAACATAATAAAGATCCAAGAATGTTAAAATGTATGGGAATAAAAAAATGTACTACACCTTGGAGAGGAGGAGACATAAAAAACATTCTTGGGTGGGCGGGGCCTGAACTCTGAGCTGAGCAGATACATGTGGGCACAGCTCCTGCTCTGAAACCCACAGAAAGCAGTAAAACGGCACTTATTAGGCCAGCAAAGCTACAAACGGGCGACCACTCGACAGACAAAGCTACACTGATCATTCTGATGCCACACAGGCGATTATTGATGCCGAACAGCCGCGATCTGGGTTTGAGGCCTGGCGTGACAAGCGGCCTTACTGTCGGGGGAGGCGTCCGATCTCCCAAAGGTTAGGTCCGCATCGCACAACGGCTCTACGGACTCCCGCTACCCCCCCATGGACCGGTGGGGGATATGCTGGTCCCCGCTGGGGAAGCATACCCACCTGCAACAAGGGACTATCTCACCAAGCAGAGAGCAACACGATGTGCCCAAGATGGCCACCACACAGCCTTCTCAGCAAATAAACGAAGAGGCTAGTACAAGTGGCAACTCACCCATCATGGCGGACATGGCGTGCCTCCTGGACTCCAGCGAAATCCAACTCAATGTACACACCAGGCTGCAACGAATATTTGACGAATTCTGGCGCACACTGGAACAGAGGATGCTACACAGTAGCCCAATACAAGCAAGGACATATCTATCCCGCAGAACAGCGCCAC